GGTTGGATAGTTTAGATTCTACTCGGGGAATTATGCTGGTTGGAATGTTTAGATTCTACTCGGGGAATTATGCTGGTTGGAATGTTTAGATTCTACTCGGGGAATTATGCTGGTTGGAATGTTTAGGTTCCGATAGGGGAATTATGCTGGTTGGAATGTTTAGATTTGACTTTGATATCCAATAATAGCCTAAAACAAATCAGTTTATCATATTTGATATGTGCAACTTTCAATTTTGTTCACAATATTTAGCATTAAGAAAAAAGCTTTTTAACTGTGTACAGCAACACAAAATAGAATTATTACATCTTTGCAAGAATAAAACTAAAACAAACACACAAGTTCTATGCCGTGTTTGAAACATTCAAAACGAGTGAAATGAACAAAAGTGATGGACAACAACTACAAATTGAGTCTTGTATGTTAATTACACTTAAAAACATAAATAAAGGAAATTAAAAAAAAAAAATTAACTAACTTATGGATACTCTATGTTCTTTAGTGTAAAAGTATGTTTTATGAGTTTTAAAAGTTTTTGTTAATCGTATATACCATTGTCTACCTATGATTGTTTCACCTTACTTCTATTTTTGTCGACTCTAGCAAAGCGTTCCTCCAGTTATGGCCTTTCATATGGGTTCGCTAGGTTTCCTTGCACCATTTGAGTTTGCCGATTTTCAGGAACAAGTTAGTAATGTGTTAGAAGGTGAGTCTGTATACAGAATGAGTCAGAAAAGCTTAACTTATTCTTGAAATTTTCCTAGTAAATGTATTATACGAGTTGATTCGAGAAACTTTTACGTTATTAATCTCTGCCTTGTAATCAGGAAACATTGTCATTTCAATTTGATATAAGCACCGAGTGTTTAGTAGCAGGTTAGTTTATATAGAGGTTAGTGTTTGTTTTTTTTTTGCTATATCATCGAGTTAATTTCAAATAATTTGTTACATCAATCCAAATTGAGTTCATGTTTATCCACCGTGCAAGACCAGACTGATTTTATAATTTGTTCTCTGAAGGACACGCAGCTCTAACTCTACGTAGCAGGCTCCGATGTATCATAATGAGGAAGAACAGTGAACCGCTGGACAAAAAATCCCATTCCAGTTTCTTGGTAAGAATGTTGTTTCTTGGAAAATGAAAGGGAATTTTAACATCTACACGAATTTTTAAATCATTATTGACGATCTATAAACATTCAAGATTTTAGAGCATTCTTTTCGTTTACGGTTATGTCACAGTCAGTTTTCACAGAGAAGTGAAACGTACAACAGTTTCACGTATGAACGAGTACTAGTGCATAGTTTTACAGATGAAAAATTAACATGTAATACTTGTTCTCGTCAACCAGAAAGAATGTTGACTAGAACCAGAAAAATTAACTTGTAATACTTGTTCTAGTCAACCAGAAAGAATGTTGACTAGAACCAGAAAAATTAACTTGTAATACTTGTTCTAGTCAACCAGAAAGAATGTTGGTTGTCTGAAACTAGAATATTATTTAAACTTTGTTTTTTTTTCATTTCGATGATATTTTGTTTTTTATCAATTTGTTGTTGACAAATCTTGTATAAATATTCATTCGTTTATCGAGTTGAGTTAACTGGAAATATTTACCTATTGAACAGAGTAATTATTGACGGACAGTTTATAAAGATCTAATAATAATAAAATTATTATCAATTATCTTAGGTATTGAATGAGGTAGTGGTTGACAGAGGGCCTTCTCCTTACCTGTCAAATATTGACTTATTTCTGGATGGAAAACATATTACCACAGTTCAGGGAGATGGTAAGATCTGTGTTTTTTAGATTAGTATGTGTGTATATATAATTGTAATATTAAGTAGAAAATGAAAGCAAAAAAAGAAAACTGAAACAATGCAGCTACAAAAGACATGTACCACCCGGGCACACACCATAAGGTGGGTAGTTGTACAATGTGCTCTGGTTTATGAGGTATTGGTGGAAGTAAGACCCAAATTGTTTTGGGGGTATGCCATCTATCCAGTTTAACCTCAGTTTTGGAGGCCTCACATTTGTAATAATAATAAATAAGTAGTAAATAAAAGAAGAGCAGATGTGGGTGCTGTATCCCACATCTTTACCACCTTTCGCTGTCTGCAGCCAGATGTGGGAAGGTGACTGCTCGAAAAAGAAAAAATAAATTTAAGAAGAAAGATATAATTGGGATACACATATCAATGGGGAGACAGTAAAACTGTCCTTGAAGTTTGCATTCCAGCCCCCATAATGATGTTCGGATATAAATACCATAATGTTAAGATATTACTATACAAGCCCAACCTAAATTTGTAGTATAGCTCCCATCCTCCACCCACACAGTAGACAGCGAAAGGTGGTAAAGATGTGGGCTAAAGCACCCACATCTGCTCTTTTTTCTTTTACTACTTATTTATTATTATTACGAATGTGAGGCCTGCGAAACTGAAGTTAAACTGGATAGATGGCATACCTCCAAAACAATTTGGATCTTACTTCCACCAATACTTCAATAACCAGAGCACATTGTATAACTACCCACCTTATGGTGTTTGCCCAGGTGGTACATGTCTGTTTGTAGCTGCGTTGTTTCCGTTTTCTTTTTTGGCTTTCATTTTATGCGTAATATTACAGTTAATTATTTTTCATCTAAGGTTTTGGATAGACTGTATTAAATTGATGTTAATCTTCTTTATGATGTAATCTTTCTTTCTTTTTTTTAAATCGTTAAGCAAGAGGTACAAAACAATTATGGCAAATATCATTTATTGTCAAGCAAATAAAATTAAATTTTCTGCGTTTTTATTTGCGTGTCCCATAAAATTTAGGTGACACATTTCGTAAAGTTCGTGGTCTTCAAATGCAAGATTTTTGTCAAATGCGACGTAGCATTACGTGTAGGTAGTAAATCTTGGTTTTATCTGCCAATATCAAAACCTGAAAATACAATTTAAAGGTCATTCATTTAGAATGTTTAACATAATCAAATCCAGTGGTTTGATGATATATTTCTAAGAAGATCCTAGGTACCCTTAACTCGAAGCATCCTGCCATTTCTGTTGAAATTTTAGTGAAATAATTTGGAGCTACAGACTCAAAACTTGAATGGTGATAAATACCGTGCTTCTGAAATTGATATAATGTTACTGTGTACATGTTTGTTGTGTACCAATGGGTCTGTGGTGCCTAAGACAATCGTAATTTGATTATATACTATAAATAAAAGCAGTTATGTTACCTTTTTTTTTAGTTACTTAGTTGTATTTCTTAGCATATTTTAGTAAAGTTTAGTATTTTCAATTTTCTCCCTGCTCAGGATTGATAGTTTCCACTCCGACAGGCAGTACAGCCTATGCTGTGGCTGCTGGGGCATCTATGATTCATCCCAGTGTACCAGCCATCATGGTTACCCCTATATGTCCACATTCCCTTTCTTTCAGGCCTATTGTCGTACCTGCAGGGGTTGAATTAAAGGTATGGTTGTAACAATATGTCTTACTCAGCTTATTGATTCAACTTAACCAGAAATACGAACAGACTTAAATCTATTGTGTAAATAATATTGGAAGTGAAGTCCGAGAACTCTTGGAGCTAGTTTTAAATTTACATGTATAAATGTTTTTAAAAGCTTTTGTCCGATATGTTTCTATACTGTTTGTTACGTTACATAGATAAACTTGCTATCATATTATTCGAACTTGTATTTTCTTTTTGATCCGTGAATTTTGGCATCATTCAAAAGGTATGGTACATTATTTATTTCAAACACGTCGTAACTAATACGTGTTTCGTTTTATATCAAGAACTGATGATATGTAAGAGTTTGTTTTGCAAACTTAAGAGAGATCCTGTTTTTGGTTTAAAATTTTAGAACACTTCTCTAATACTTAAACTCTATTGCTCAGGGCTGTTATATAGATTATATTCCAACATACTTAACACTACTACAATGAAATGTTCTTGATTTAGTGTTTAAAACTACTGATACATTAATACTGTAGAAAGTAATGTAGTTTCTTAAATATGAAACTTAAATCCCTATTCTTGAACTTCCTTGCAACACAACTATAGATCATGGTCTCCCCTGAAGCAAGAAGTTCAGCGTGGATATCTTTTGATGGTCGCAACAGACAGCCTTTAGAGCATGGGGATAGGTAGGGATGAGTGAATTTAAACATGTGGGGATGGGTAGGGATGAGTGAAATGAAACGTGGGGATAGGTAGGGATGAGTGAAGTGAAATGTGCCTTTTTGTTTTTTGCATGCAGCATGTGTATTAAAAACCTGTTCTCTCCCTTAATTTTTAAGATTATGGTGTCACCAGATGCTAGGAACACAGCATGGGTGTCATTTGATGGCCGACATCAGCAACAGTTGAAAATAGGCGATAGGTGTGTGTTGTTTTGTTTGAATTGTTACTTTGTCGGTTTAATTAAAACATTCC